CACCCACCCCACTCACTCACCCACCCACTCACCCACTCACTCACCCACCCACCCACTCACCCACCCACCCACTCACCCACCCACTCACCCACCCACCCACTCACCCACCCACCCACTCACCCACTCACCCACCCACCCACTCACCCACCCACTCACCCACCCACCCACCCACCCACTGCATTAACGGCCCCCAAACCCCCTCCACCCCTCCACCCCCCCCACTACCACCCCCACCACTACCCCCCCCACTACCCCCCCACTACCCCCCCACTACCCCCCCCACTACCCCCCCCCCTCCTCCTCCCCACTCACCTCCCGCTTGGGTTCGGTGCTGCTGCGCGAACGTCCCATCGATGGACGTCTCGTCTCCCGGACAGACGTCGTGGGCGATGGGGCAGGCGATGGGGGTGATGGGGGTGATGGGGGTGATGGGGCAGGCGATGGGGGTGATGGGGGTGATGGGGGTGATGGGGCAGGCGATGGGGGTGATGGGACAGACGCCGTGGGCGATGGGGCAGGCGATGTGGGTGATGGGGCAGATGATGTGGGTGATGGGGGTGATGGGAGAGGCGATGGGAGTGATGGGGCAGGTGATGGGGCAAGCGATGTGGGTGATGGGGGTGATGGGAGAGGCGATGGGAGTGATGGGGCAGGTGATGGGGCAGGCGATGGGGGTGATGAGGCAGGCGATGGTGGTGATGGGGGTGATGGGGCAGGCGATGGGGGTGATGGTAGAGACGATGAGCGTGATGGGGCAGTTGATGGGGGTGATGGGGGCGATGGGGCAGTTGATGGGGGTGATGGGGCAGGCGATGGGGGTGATGATGGGTGTGATGGGGCAGGCGATGGGGGCGATGGGGCAGGTGATGGGGGCGATGGGGGTGATGGGGGTGATGGGGCAGGCGATGGGGGTGATGGGACAGGCGATGGGGGTGATGGGACAGGCGATGGGGGTGATGGGGCAGGCGATGTGGGTGATGGGGCAGGCGATGGGGGTGATGGGGCAGGCGATGGGGGTGATGGGACAGGCGATGGGAGAGGCGATGGTGGTGATGGGGGCGATGGCAGAGACGATGGGGCAGGCGATGCGGGTGATGGGGCAGGCGATGGGGGTGATGGGGGCGATGGGGCAGGTGATGGGGGTGATGGGGGTGATGGGGGCGATGGGGGTGATGGGGGTGATGTGATGGACGCTGATGGAGGCCTCAGGCTGGTGCCCTGGATGATGTCCGCCAGGAGCTTCTCCCTGGGGCTCGGCTCACGAGGGCGGGAGGCCGAGAGGCGCCTCTGCCAAGCCTGCACCATCACCACCATCACCACCATCAGCATCACCACCATCACCACTACCATCATCACCATCACAACCATCACCACCATCACCACCATCACCATCACCACCAGCATCATCACACCACCAGCATCATCACATCACCACCATCAGCATCACCACCATCAGCACCATCACCACCATCACCACCATCACCACCATCAGCATCAGCACCATCACCACCATCACCACCATCACCACCATCAGCATCACCACCATCACCACCATCACCACCACCACCACCATCACCACCATCATCATCACCACCACCATCACCACCATCACCACCATCACCACCATCACCACCATCACCAGCATCATCACATCACCACCATCACCACCATCACCACCATCACCACCCACCACCACCAACACCATCATTATCATCATCACCACCACCACCACTACCATCATCATCACCACCACCACCATCAGCATCACCACCATCACCACCATCACCACCATCACCATCACCACCATCACCACCATCACCACCAGCATCATCACATCACCACCATCACCACCATCACCACCACCACCATCACCACCACCATCACCACCATCATCACCACCATCACCACCATCACCACCACCATCACCACCACCATCACATCACCACCATCACATCACCACCACCATCACCACCACCATCACATCACCACCATCACCATCATCACCACCACCACCATCATCACCATCACCACCATCACCATCATCACCACCACAACCAACACTATCATCACCATCACCACCACCATCACCACCACATCATCACCATCACATTACCACCACCATCACCACCACATCACCACCATCATCATCACCACCATCACCACCATCACCACCATCACCACCACAATCGGTCACACGAGGCTCACCGGTTTGAGTGCGGGTCGCGACCTGATGTAGTCCAGGGCCTGCTCGTGAGCGCTGACCCCTGACCCACGGCCCCGTTGAGGCACCTACGAGACAGGGGAGGTGACAAGGCACCGGGTGGTCATGTCATCCAGTCACTCAGTCACTCATTCACTCACTCAGTCAGTCACTCAGTCAGTCACTCAGTCACTCATCCAGTCACTCACCCAGTCACTCACTCAGTCAGTCACTCAGTCAGTCAGTCACTCAGTCAGTCACCCAGTCAGTCAGTCAGTCACTCACTCACTCAGTCACTCACTCACTCACTCAGTCAGTCAGTCACTCACCCACTCACTCAACCACCCATCCACTCACTCACTCACCCACCCATTCACTCACTCACCCATTCACTAAATCAACCACTCATTCACTCACCCACTCACTCACTCACGCACGCACTCACCCACTCACTCACCCACTCACTCACTCGACCACCCACCCACACATCCGACCACCCATCCACCCACTCACTCAACCACCCATCCACCCACGCACCCACCCACCCATCCACTCACTCACCCACTCACCCACCCGCCCACCAACCCACCCACGCACCAACCCACCCACACACCCACTCACCCACTCACTCACTCACTCTTCCACTCACTCACTCACTCAACCACCCATCCACTCACTCACCCACTCACCCACTCACCCAATCACCCACTCACCCACCAACCCACCAACCCGCCCGCCCGCCCGCCCGCCCGCCCGCCCGCCCACCCACCCTATTCCCCGCACGTGCGCCACCCTACCGGGGTGGGCTTGAGGCTGAACCTGCGGAGGGCGACACTCACACACTCACACACTCACACACTCACACACTCACTCACTCACACACGCACACACTCACTCACCCACTCACACACTCACACACACACACATCACACTCACACACTCACCCACTCACACACTCACACACACTCACACACACACTCACACACTCACTCACCCACTCACGACACTCACACACTCACACACTCACACACACACGACACTCACACTCACTCACACACTCACACACACACACTCACTCACACGACACTCACACACACACTCTCACACTCACACACACACTCACTCACACACTCACACACTCACACACACACACTCACTCACTCACACACTCACACACTCACACACTCACACACACTCACTCACTCACACACTCACACACACTCACACACTCACACACACTCACACACACTCACACACTCACACACTCACTCACACATACGACACTCACACACTCACACACACTCACACACTCACACACACACGACACTCACACTCTCACACACACTCACTCACTCACACACACACTCACACACTCACACACTCACACACTCACACACTCACACACACACACACTCACACACTCACACACACACTCACACACACACTCACACACACACACTCACACTCACCCACTCACGACACTCACACACTCACACACACGACACTCACACTCACTCACACACACTCACTCACACGACACTCACACACACACTCTCACTCACACGACACTCACACACACACTCTCACTCACACGACACTCACACACACACTCTCACACTCACACACACACTCACATACACACTCACTCACTCACACACTCACACACTCACACACACACTCACACACACTCACACACACACACTCACTCACACACTCACACACACACTCACACACACACTCACACACTCACACTCACACACTCACTCACCCACTCACGACACTCACACACTCACACACACGACACTCACACTCACTCACACACTCACACACACACGACACTCACACTCACTCACACACTCACACACACACACTCACTCACACGACACTCACACACACACTCACACACACACTCTCACACTCACACACACACTCACATACACACTCACACACTCACTCACACACTCACTCACACACTCACACACACTCACACACACTCACACACACTCACACACACACACTCACACACACTCACACACTCACTCACCCGCTCACTCACACGCTCACACACACACTCACTCACTCACTCACACACTCACACACTCACACACTCACACACTCACACTCACGACACTCACACACTCACACACACACACACTCACACACTCACACTCACGACACTCACACACTCACACACACACACGACACACACTCATCACACTCACTCACACACACGACACTCACACACTCACTCACACACTCACACTCACGACAATCACACACTCACACACACACACGACACACATACACTCACACACTCACACACACTCACTCACACACTCACTCACTCACACACTCACACACACTCACTCACACACTCACTCACTCACACACTCACACACTCACTCACTCACACACTCACACACTCACTTACACACTCATCCACTCACCCACCCACCCACTCACTCAACCACCCATCCACTCACTCACCCACTCACTCACTCGACCACCCACCCACCCACCCACACACCCACCCACCCACCCACCAACCCACGCTACCGGGGTGGGCTTGAGGCTGAACCTGCACAGGGCAACACTCATCACACTCACACACTCACTCACTCACTCTCACACACCCACTCACTCACCCACCCACCCACCAACCCACCCACCCACCCACCCACCAACCCACCCACCCACCCAACCCACCACCCAACCCACCCACCCACCCACCCACCACCACCCACCACCCACCCACCAACCAACCCACCCACCACCAACCCACCCACCCACCCACCAACCCACCCACCCACCAACCCACCCACCCACCCACCAACCCACCCACCCACCCACCAACCCACCCACCCACCAACCCACCCACCCACCAACCCACCCACCCACCAACCCACCCACCACCCACCAACCCACGCTACCGGGGTGGGCTTGAGGCTGAACGTGCGCAGGGCAACACTCATCACACTCACACACACACTCACTCACTCTCACACACCCACTCACACACCCACTCACTCACCCACCCACCCACCAACCCACCAACCCACCCACCCACCCACCAACCCACCAACCCATCCACCCACCCGCCCACACACCCACCCACCAACCCACGCTACCGGGGTGGGCTTGAGGCTGAACCTGCGCAGGGCGACACTCATCACACTCATACACACTCACACACTCACACACGACACTCACACACTCATCCACTCACCCACCCACTCACTCAACCACCCATCCACTCACTCACCCACTCACTCACTCGACCACACACCCACCAACCCACCCACCCACCCACAAACCCACCCATCCACCCGCCCACACACCTACATACCCACACACTCACTCACTCACCCACCCACCCACTTACCCACGCACCCACCCACACACCCACCCACACACCCACCCACCCACACACCCACACACCCACTCACTCACCCACTCACCCACTCACTCGCCCACCCACTCACTCACTCGCCCACCCACCCATCCACCCACCAACCCACCCACCCACCCACCAACCCACCCACCCACCCACCCGCCCACACACCCACCCACCAACCCACGCTACCGGGGTGGGCTTGAGGCTGAACCTGCGCAGGGCGATGTCTCGTAGCAGCATCTCGAAGGGCGTCAGCCTGAAGGCCGCTGGGCCGGCCGTGACCCTCCCCCCCACCTCGACCTTCCTCAGGTGGACACCGTCACCGAGCTCCTCCATGACGCTCGCCCACGCTCGGTCCTGGGGAGACAAAGGCGGCCGGGGGGGGGGAGGGCAAAGCTGTCACGGGTCTCACACGCACCCCCCACTCTCGCACCCCCCACTCTCGCCCCCACTCTCGCACCCCACTCTCGCACCCCCCACTCTCGCCCCCCCCCCCACTCTCACCCCCCCCCCACTCTCACCCCCCACTCTCGCCCCCCCCCACTCGCCCCCCCCCCCCTTCGCCCCCCCCCCACTCGCCCCCCCCCCCGGCCTTTATAGGTGCTGCTCACTAACAGCACTTGCCCCTACAGTCTGTGACAGGCTATACGGGGGATCTTTGTGTGTGCGCGTGTGAGTGTGTGTGTGCGTGTGTGTGTGCGTGTGTGTGTGTGCGTGTGTGTGCGTGTGTGTGCGCGCGTGTGTGTGTCAGTCGACCCATGGCACCTGCTGGGTCTGCCCCGTGGCCTCCTGCCAGCGGGCGTTCGACACTTCACGTGGTAGCCTCAAGGTGCACTTGGCCTGGCACAAGCGTCGTGGTGACGTCACCGCCACTTAGTGGCGAATGGCAGTTGTTGTTGTTGCGTGTGTGTGCGTGTGCGTGTGTGTGCGCGTGTGTGCGCGTGTGCGCGTGTGTGCGTGTGTGCGTGTGTGTGCGTGTGTATGCGTGTGTGCGTGTGTGCGTGCACGTGCGTGCACGTGTGTACGTGTGTGTGCGTGTGTGCGTGCACGTGCGTGCGTGTGTGTGTGCGAGTGTGCGAGTGTGTGCGTGCGTGTGTATGTGTGTGTGCGTGTGTGTGCGTGTGTGCGAGTGTGCGTGTGTGTGTGCGTGTGTGTGTATGTGTGTGTGCGTGTGTGTGCGTGTGTGCGAGTGTGCGTGTGTGTGTGCGTGTGTGCGCGTGCGTGCGCGTGCGTGCACGTGCGTGTGTGCGCGTGTGTCATTTCACCCGTGTATTTTGCTGCCAGACGCCACCTGGTCCCCGGCACGCGATGTCGACCGTGTCGCTCGCCCCCAATCGCTGCAGATTCTGTTCGGCGCCGAGTGGAATGAGATGACAAAGAGCACACACGAGCATCAACAACATCGCCATCAGCCCGGTTACCATGCCGATGCATGGCGATCCATAGAGATCCATAGAGATCCGTAGAGACACGTAGAGACACGTAGAGACACGTAGAGATGCGTAGACCCATAGACTAAAAAACTATTTTGTATTTTAACCAGGTGAGGTCCCACACTGAGCTGGGCCTGTACAAATGATAGCAACTCAACAAAATGAAAGAAATCATCGTCATCATCGTCATCATCGCCACTGGTACCGCATTTGCCAGTAAAAAATATGATGATTGTTTTTTTTTACCCTTTTATCTGGCATCGGGCATCGGGTAGGGTACGGGCATCGGGTAGGGTACGGGCATCGGGTAGGGTACGGGTATCGGGTAGGGTACGGGTATCGGGTAGGGTACGGGTATCGGGTAGGGTACGGGTATCGGGTAGGGTACGGGTATCGGGTAGGGTACTGGTATCGGGTAGGCTACGGGTATCGGGTAGGGTACTGGTATCGGGTAGGGTACGGGTATCGGGTAGGGTACGGGCATCGGGTAGGGTACGGGTATCGGGTAGGGTACGGGTATCGGGTAGGGTACGGGCATCGGGTAGGGTACGGGCATCGGGTAGGGTACGGGCATCGGGTAGGGTACGGGCATCGGGTAGGGTACGGGTATCGGGTAGGGTACGGGCATCGGGTAGGGTACGGGTATCGGGTAGGGTACGGGTATCGGGTAGGGTACGGGTATCGGGTAGGGTACGGGTATCGGGTAGGGTACTGGTATCGGGTAGGCTACGGGTATCGGGTAGGGTACTGGTATCGGGTAGGGTACGGGTATCGGGTAGGGTACGGGCATCGGGTAGGGTACGGGCATCGGGTAGGGTACGGGCATCGGGTAGGGTACGGGCATCGGGTAGGGTACGGGTATCGGGTAGGGTACGGGTATCGGGTAGGGTACGGGCATCGGGTAGGGTACGGGTATCGGGTAGGGTAGTGGTATCGGGTAGGGTACGGGTATCGGGTAGGGTACGGGTATCGGGTAGGGTACGGGTATCGGGTAGGGTAGTGGTATCGGGTAGGGTACGGGTATCGGGTAGGGTACGGGCATCGGGTAGGGTACGGGTATCGGGTAGGGTACGGGTATCGGGTAGGGTACGGGTATCAGGTACCCGGTTGCGACCTCTGGCGTGCGGTTACCTGCGTGCCGGTAGCAACACGGCGCTTGTCCATGGCGTGCAGGTAGAGAGAGTGCAGCACAGACGAGTAGTGACCCTCGGGGTTATCCGGACTCCGCACGCGAGCCACGCACACCTGCAGCACGCAGACCACGGAGACGCGGAGAGCCTGGGTTCGAGCCCTGGGTCTGGGTGTCTCTCTCTCTGTTCCAAAGGGTTCATAGCGGCCGTGTGAGAGACACTGAGAGGCTGTGTCTGGGTGTCTCTCTCTCTCTCTCAAGGGGTTCATAGTGGCTGTGACGGAGACACTGAGAGCCTGTGTCTGGGTGTCTCTCTCTCTCAGGATGTTCACGATGGCCGTGTGGGAGACACTGAGAGGCTGGGTTTGAGCCCTGGGTCTGGGTGTCTCTCTCTCTGTCTCAGGGATTCATAGTGGCCGTGTCGGAGACACTGGGAGCCTGGGTTTGAGCCCTGGGTCTGGGTGTCTCTCTCTCTCAGGATGTTCACGATGGCCGTGTGAGAGACACTGAGATCCTGGGTTCGAGCCCTGGGTCTGGGTGTCTCTCTCTATCTCAGGGGTTCATAGTGGCCGTGTCAGAGATTCTGAGAGCCTGTGTCTGGGTGTCTCTCTCTCTCAGGGGGTTCACGATGGCCGTGTGGGAGACACTGAGAGGCTGGGTTCGAGCCCTGGGTCTGGGTGTCTCTCTCTCTCAGGGGGTTCATAGTGGCCGTGTCGGAGACACTGAGAGGCTGGGTTCGAGCCCTGGGTCTGGGTGTCTCTCTCTCTCAGGGGGTTCATAGTGGCCGTGTCGGAGACACTGAGAGGCTGGGTTCGAGCCCTGGGTCTGGGTGTCTCCCCTCTCTCAGGGGGTTCATAGTGGCCGTGTCGGGGACACTGAGAGCCTGGGTTCGAGCCCTGGGTCTGGGTGTCTCTCTCTCTCTCAGGGGGTTCATAGTGGCCGTGTCGGAGATACTGAGAATCTGGATTTGAGTCCTGGGTCTGGGCGTCTCTCTCTGTTCCAGGGGGTTCATAGTGGCCGTGTCGGAGACGCTGAGATCCTAGGTTCGAGCCCTGGGTCTGGGTGTCTCTCTCTCTCTCAGGGGGTTCATAGTGGCCGTGTCGGAGACGCTAAGAGCCTGGGTTCAAGCCCTGGGTCTGGGTGTCTCTCTCTCTGTCGGTCTCCCAGGGGGTTCACGATGGCCGTGTGAGAGACACTAAGATCCTGGGTTCGAGCCCTGGGTCTGGGTATACATATATACACATAGATCCCTCTCTCTCCCATCTAAGGAGGGTTCACAATGGCCGTGTCGGAGGCAAGGGCTGCCTTACCGCCACGACTTGGCTGCTGGTGTAAGTGCTGCCATCTCTCGGCACGTGGTGACGGGCTGTTCCATGTCCCTTTGCAGGGAGTTTCTCTTCCGCACCCCCATTTGCAGGCAACGAATGGGCCGCTCCAGTGTGCATCATGGTCTGCAGGGTTTAAACACAAGCAATTATGAGATAATTGGTTTTTTACCCTTCTATCTGGCAACAAAACTGACGCCTTTTTGTTTTTTTTACAAGGAGTCATGTTTGCATTGACCACAATACCTGCAGTCGGAATGCAAACAAGAAACAACACACCTCTGATAATTATTACGAATACTTTACTGATGATGTATGCACTGTCCTCGAAGTTGATTGGTCCACACCCGAGACAGCTTTCCTTAGAGCCTAGTCTCACATGGTGTTGGACCAGATGACGCCAAAAGGCGCACAACTCAAAGACAATGCACCATCAGAGTATGAGAGCTCGGGGTAAAGCATTTACACCATTGGAACCTCCTTTGCCAGTAGCAAAATATGATAATTGGTTTTTTTACCCTTCTATCTGGCAACAAAACTGACACCTTTTTTAACAAGGAGTCATGTTTGCATTGACCACAACACAAGCAATCAAAATGCAAACAAAACACAACTCTGATAATGTATGCACTGTCCTTGAAGTTGATTGGTCCACACCCGAGACAGCTTTCCTTAGAGCCTAGTCTCACATGGTGTTGGACCAGATGACGCCAAAAGGCGCACAACTCAAAGACAACGCACCATCAGAGTACGAGAGCTCAGGGTAAAGCATTTACACTATTGGAACCTCCTTTGCCAGTAGCAAAATATGATAATTGCTTTATTACAAATTATCTGGCAACAAAACTGACACCTTTTTAACAAGGAGTCATGTTTGCATAGACCACAATACCTGCAGCCATAATGCAAACAAAAAACACAACTCTGATAATGTATGCACTGTCCTTGAAGTTGATTGGTCCACACCCGAGACAGCTTTCCTTAGAGCCCAGTCTCACATGGTGTTGGACCAGATGACGCCAAAACGGCGCTGAACACTCGCTCACCTTTGCACCGCCGCCACCCTCGCCGCTCGAATGGAGCGACCCGCGAACTCCCGCACCGTCGCTGGCGTGTGAGGGGTGTCCGTATCCGCTCGCCCCGCAGGTCATGCCCTCGATGAGACGCTCAAGGGCCGGGCTGAGCTCCCTCTCCTCATCGTCGCGAACGCCCCAATCCAGGTGGCGGTAGATCGCAACTCCCACGCGCCGCAACGCTCGCTGACGGAAGATTTGAAGGCGTCAAGTTGGACGCGCCGGCTTTGAAATCCACTTTTTAAATTGTTTATATTAAGTTCGCTCGCTTGCTTGCTTGCGCGCTTACGACCGTGCAAATCTTTCGGTCGTTTTTAAATCCTTTATATTAAGATCAGTGTGTGAGTCAGTGTGTGAGTTAGTGTGTGAGTCAGTGTGTGAGTCAGTGTGTGCGTCAGTGTGTGAGTCAGTGTGTGTGTCAGTGTGTGGGTCAGTGTGTGTGTCAGTGTGTGTGTCAGTGTGCGCGTCAGTGCGTGTGTGAGTCAGTGTGTGAGTCAGTGTGTATGTCAGTGTGTGAGTCAGTGTGTGTGTCAGTGTGTGTGTCAGTGTGTGTGTCAGTGTGTGAGTCAGTGTGTGAGTCAGTGTGTGTGTCAGTGTGTGTGTCAGTGTGTGTGTCAGTGTGTGAGTCAGTGTGTGTGTGTGTGAGTCAGTGTGTGAGTCAGTGTGTGTGTGTGTGTGAGTCAGTGTGTGTGTGTGTGTGTGTGAGTCAGTGTGTGTGTGTGTGTGAGTCAGTGTGTGAGTCAGTGTGTGAGTCAGTGTGTCAGTGTGTGAGTCAGTGTGTGTGTGTGTGTCAGTGTGTGAGTCAGTGTGTGAGTCAGTGTGTGTGTGTGTCAGTGTGTGTGTGTCAGTGTGTGAGTCAGTGTGTGTGTGTGAGTCAGTGTGTGAGTCAGTGTGTGAGTCAGTGTGTGTCAGTGTCAGTGTGTGTGTCAGTGTCAGTGTGTGTGTCAGTGTCAGTGTGTCAGTGTCAGTGTGTGTGTGTCAGTGTGTGAGTCAGTGTGTGTCAGTGTCAGTGTGTGTGTCAGTGCGTGTGTGTGAGTCAGTGTGTGTCAGTGTCAGTGTGTGTGTCAGTGTCAGTGTGTGTGTCAGTGTGCGTGTCAGTGTGTGTGTCAGTGCGTGTGTCAGTGCGTGTGTGTGTGTCAGTGTGTGAGTCAGTGTGTGAGTCAGCGTGTGAGTCAGTGTGTGAGTCAGTGTGTGTGTGTGAGTCAGTGTGTGTGTCAGTGTGTGTGTCAGTGTGTGTGTCAGTGTGTGTGTCAGTGTGTGCATGTGTGTGTCAGTGTGTGCGTGTGTGTGTCAGTGTGTGAGTCAGTGTGTGTGTGAGTCAGCGTGTGAGTCAGTGTGCGAGTCAGCGTGTGAGTCAGTGTGCGAGTCAGTGTGTGAGTCAGTGTGTGTGTGTCAGCGTGCGAGTCAGTGTGTGAGTCAATGTGTAAGTCAGTGTGTGAGTCAGTGTGTGCGTGTGTGTGAGTCAGTGTGTGTGTCAGTGTGTGAGTCAGTGTGTGTGTCAGTGTGTGAGTCAGTGTGTGAGTCAGTGTGTGCGTGTGTGCGAGTCAGTGTGTGTGTCAGTGTGTGAGTCAGTGTCAGTGTGTGTGTCAGTGTCCGAGTCAGTGTGATTCAGTGTGTCAGTGTGTGAGTCAGTGTGTGTGTCAGTGTGTGTGTCAGCGTGTGTGTCAGTGTGTGTGTCAGTGTGTCAGTGTGTGTGTCAGTGTGTGTGTGTCAATGTGTGTGTCAGTGTCAGTATGTGTGTGTCAGTGTGTGAGTCAGCGTGTGTGCGTGTGTGAGTCAGTGTGTGAGTCAGTGTGTGTGTCAGTGTGTGAGTCAGTGTGCGTGTCAGTGTGTGAGTCAGCATGTGAGTGTGCGATTGACAGTGTCCCGGTCAGGCCGGGTAGCGCGATGGATGTGGCGATGTTCCACCATTACCTCCGTTCCAAAGTCGATCCAGGCCGACCCATCTGTGGTGCGGGGAGGGGGGGTGGGACAAAAGAGAGAAAAGTTTGTCTCCGTGAGAGTCGTCAGTGTGGGACGAGCAGCCAGGACGATGATCAAACGAAAACTAAAACTCCTTAAAAAAGGGTTTTAATAAAACTCCTTAAAAAGGGTTTCGTTTTTAAATCCTTTATATTAAGTTCACTCGCTTGCTTGCTTGCGCGCTTACGACCGTGCAAATCTTTCGGTCGTTTTTTAAATACTTTATATTAAGTTCACTTGCTTGCTTGCGCGCTTACGACCGTGCAAATCTTTCGGTCGTTTTTAAATCCTTTATATTAAGTTCACTCGCTTGCTTGCTTGCGCGCTTACGACCGTGCAAATCTTTCGGTCGTTTTTTAACCCACTTCCCGTGATCCAATCGAGCTGACATTTTGCACACAGACTCGTTGTGCGTGACAATTAATTTTCGTGAAATTTTATTCTCCAAATTTTTACACTTTTTAGGAAAAAAAATATTATATTTAATTACCAATTGCTTAATGGTGGCAGGCAATCATCTGACCCATAGGTGGCAGCCATCTCAAGCCAGAGGACGAGAGGACTCTAGCCGCCACGCATATAAAGGATTTAGAGTGAAAAACTTTGTTTTTACGGGTTAATTTTTAAACAACGGTTTCATCAACAACTTCCGTTTCTTGGAAGAAGTGAGAGTGGAGATGGGAGATAGAGTGGAGATGAGAAAAAACAATGAGAGATAAAGTGATGAGAGATAAAGTGTATAGTGTAGTATGTAGTGTATAGTGTAGTATGTAGTGTGTAGTGTAGTATGTAGTGTATAGTGTAGTATGTAGTGTATAGTGTAGTATGTAGTGTGTAGTGTAGTATGTAGTGTATAGTGTAGTATGTAGTGTATAGTGTAGTGTAGTAGTGTGTACTGTAGTGTATAGTGTAGTGTATAGTGTAGTGTATAGTGTAGTATGTAGTGTAGTATGTAGTGTATAGTGTAGTGTATAGTGCATAGTGTAGTGTATAGTGTAGTGCATAGTGTAGTGTATAGTGTAGTGCATAGTGTAGTGTATAGTGCATAGTGTAGTGTATAGTGTAGTAGTGTAGTGTGTAGTGTGTAGTGTAGTATGTAGTGTAGTATGTAGTGTAGTAATGTAGTGTATAGTGTAGTGTGTAGTGTGTACTGTAGTGTATAGTGTAGTATGTAGTGTAGTATGTAGTGTAGTATGTAGTGTAGTATGTAGTGTATCGTGTAGTGTATAGTGCATAGTGTAGTGTATAGTGTAGTGTAGTAGTGTAGTGTGTAGTGTAGTAGTGTAGTGTGTAGTGTAGTATGTAGTGTGTAGTGTAGTATGTAGTGTAGTGTAGTAATGTAGTGTATAGTGTGGTGTGTAGTGTGTACTGTAGTGTATAGTGTAGTATGTAGTGTAGTGTGTAGTGTAGTATATAGTGTGTAGTGTATAGTGTAGTGTATAGTGCATAGTGTAGTTTATAGTGTAGTGTATAGTGTAGTATGTAGTGTGTACAGTGTATTGCAATGTACAGTGTAGTGTATATTGCAATGTACAGTGTAGTGTGTCATATACAATGGCTCATCATCAACACAACACATTTAGATCAGCAAAAAAAATCTAAATCACCCCAAAGCACGTCCCGAAACACCAGCGCGTGTTTACAGAGCGCCTGAGCCTCCTGCCTATCACGACCGTGACCCGCCAACCCTGACCTCTGACCATCACGGGGGGTCAGGGAGGGCTCGGGGTGTTTGCCGTGGGCGAGGTAGAAAACAAACAAGGACAGGATATACATCAACAACATGAACCGCCCCGAGCAAAGGTCTATTAGGGCCCCGGGACAAACTCCTCGGTACGCTTGCAGGGCAAGAGCTGTGAGACACAGGGACAGGATGCAGGGCAAGTGCTGTGTCACCCAGAGACAGTGCTGAGTCACCCAGGGACAGGATGCAGGGCAAGTGCTGAGTCACCCAGGGACAGGATGCAGGGCAAGAGCTGTGAGACACAGGGGCAGGATGCAGGGCAAGTGCTGTGTCACCTAGAGACAGTGCTGTGTCGCCCAGGGACAGGCTGCAGGGCAAGTGCTGTGTCACCCAGAGAGAGTGCTGAGTCACCCAGGGACAGGATGCAGGACAAGTGCTGTGAGACACAGGGACCAGGATGCAGGGCAAGTGCTGTGAGACACAGGGGCAGGATGCAGGGCAAGTGCTGTGAGACACAGGGACAGGATGCAGGGCAAGTGCTGTGAGACACAGGGGCAGGATGCAGGGCAAGTGCTGTGAGACACAGGGGCAGGATGCAGGGCAAGTGCTGTGTCACCCAGGGACAGGATGCAGGGCAAGTGCTGAGTCACCCAGGGACAGGCTGAAGGGCAAGTGCTGAGTCACCCAGGGACAGGCTGAAGGGCAAGTGCTGAGTCACCCAGGGACAGGCTGTAGGGCAAGTGCTGTGTCACTCAGGGACAGGATGCAGGGCAAGTGCTGAGTCACCCAGGGACAGGCTGAAGGGCAAGTGCTGAGTCACCCAGGGACAGGCTGAAGGGCAAGTGCTGAGTCACCCAGGGACAGGCTGAAGGGCAAGTGCTGTGTCACCCAGGGACAGGCTGTAGGGCAAGTGCTGAGTCACCCAGGGACAGGATGCAGTGCAAGAGCTGTGAGACACAGGGACAGATGCCACTGGGTGGCAGTGAGGGAGGGAGGAGTGGGTCCAATTGTTGGCTACTGTGGTTGGTGATTTTGCTGTGTGTGGTGGTGGTGGTGATTCTGTGTAGTGGTGGTGGTGGTGATTCTGTGTGGTGGTGGTGGTGATTCTGTGTGTGTGGTGGTGATTCTGTGTGTGGTGGTGGTGATTCTGTGTAGTGGTGGTGGTGGTGATTCTGTGTGTGGTGGTGGTGATTCTGTGTGTGGTGGTGGTGATTCTGTGTGTGGTGATTCTGTGTGTGGTGGTGGTGATTCTGTGTGTGGTGGTGGTGATTCTGTGTGGTGGTGATTCTGTGTGGTGGTGGTGGTGGTGATTCTGTGTGGTGGTGGTGGTGATTCTGTGTGGTGGTGGTGGTGATTCTGTGTGGTGGTGGTGATTCTGTGTGTGGTGGTGGTGATTCTGTGTGTGGTGGTGGTGATTCTGTGTGTGGTGATTCTGTGTGTGGTGGTGGTGATTCTGTGTTGGTGGTGATGCTATGTGTGTGGTGGTGGTGATTCTGTGTAGTGGTGGTGTTGGTGATTTTGTGTGTGTGGTGGTGATTCTGTGTGTGTGGTGGTGATTTTGTGTGTGTGGTGGTGATTCTGTGTGTGGTGGTGATTCTGTGTGTGGTGGTGGTGATTCTGTGTAGTGGTGGTGGTGGTGATTCTGTGTGTGGTGGTGGTGATTCTGTGTGTGGTGGTGGTGATTCTGTGTGTGGTGGTGGTGATTCTGTGTGTGGTGATTCTGTGTGTGGTGGTGGTGATTCTGTGTGTGGTGGTGATTCTGTGTGGTGGTGGTGGTGATTCTGTGTGGTGGTGGTGGTGATTCTGTGTAGTGGTGATGGTGATTCTGTGTGTGTGGTGGTGGTGGTGATTCTGTGTGTGTGGTGGTGATTCTGTGTGTGTGGTGGTGGTGATTCTGTGTGTGGTGGTGGTGATTCTGTGTGTGGTGGTGGTGATTCTGTGTAGTGGTGGTGGTGATTCTGTGTGTGTGGTGGTGGTGATTCTGTGTGTGGTGGTGGTGATTCTGTGTGTGGTGGTGGTGGTGGTGATTCTGTGTGTAGTGGTGGTGGTGATTCTGTTTGTTGGTGGTGGTGATTCTGTGTGTGTGGTGGTGATTCTGTGTAAGTGGTGGTGATTCTGTGTGTGTGGTGGTGATTCTGTGTGTGTGTTGATGATTCTGTGTGTATGTTGATGATTCTGTGTATATGTTGGTGATGATTCTAGTTGTTATGATGTTATTTGGCAATGATGCTGTGGGTGCCAATACTACGTGGTGACGATGCTGTGTGGTGATGGTACTGTGTGTGGTGATACTGTATGCTAATAAAGCTGTGTATGCCAATAAAGCTGTGCATGGTAATGATGCTGTGTGTGTGTGTGTGGTTTATAGTTTTAGTTGGTAAAAACTATAAACTATTTTTATTGTTTCGATTTAAAGCTTTCGTGACTGCAGGGATTCATCTTCTTGGTTCTTTCGGTAAAGTCATCACGTAGAAGGGAAATAATAAAATAATAAAAATCTAACTTCATAAAATACAATTCTCACAACGTTTCGGCCACAACGCAAGCAGCCGTCTTCAGGTGGAGAACAGGTCTGTCGAGGAGACAGAATCTGAATGACAAACCCCAGGCTTGGAGCGACTATTTATGCTGGGATGGAGGGGCAAAGAGCGTCTTGACAAAATAATTTGCATATCAAGAGGAATTTAGCATATTTATGGGAAATGTAGATATGCTGCTTGCGTTGTGGCTGTAACGTCGTGATAATTATTTTATGAAGTTTTATTTTTATTATTTTATTATTTCCCTTCTACGTGATGACTTTACCGAAAGAACCAAGAAGATGAATCCCTGCAGTCACGAAAGCTTTAAATCGAAATTTAACTCTGAAACGTGTGACGTGGACTCTAAATGTGGAGAAAAAAACCAGACGACCCGCCAAAATGTTCGTGACAACGGGGAGTGAGAGAGAGACACATACTCCACATATACAGCAGCAGGTATCGTCAGGGTGGGAATCAAACCCACGACCTCCTGCATACCGGGCGAGGGAGTTAAAATCTCCTAGCCACCGCGATGATTATGAGAGAGAGATACAGACTCTAAATATACAGCAGCAGGCGTCGTCAGGGTCGGGATCGAACTCACGACCTCCTGCGTACCAGGCGAGGTCGTCAACATTTCCCAGCCACCGTGAGCGCCCCGGTGATGATCGCCGTGTGGTGAAAGACGCTGCGGCTGATGGCGTTCACCCTCCCGATACAAACCGTGGTGACAAGCTCACACCCTGCCCCATGTGCAAGGGCAACGGTGGGTGGTGGG